TGCTGGAAGTGGGGGGAAGGGAAGGGGCGGGAAGGGAAGGGAAGGTGCGGGAAGGTGCGGGAAGGTGAGGGAAGGGAAGGGAAGGGAAGGGAAGGGAAGGGAAGGGAAGGGAAGGGAAGGGGGCCCTACCTGCTGCTGCCTTCTCCACGTAGTGCAGCTCGTTGTAGAACAGGGCCACGTGCTGGTACTTCTCCTTCACCACGTTGGAGATGTAGTGCAGCAGCGTCTGCTTCCGGTCCGTCGACTTCGTTTCCAGGAGCTGGGAAAAGCGGGAACAGAGCTGAGGGGAGCTGGATCCAAGCCAAGGGACTCGATGCTGCTGCTGCTGCTCCAGCGTGTTTTCCACGCTGGGAAGCACCAATGGAGTTCCCCAGCAGCCACTTGGGTCACCACGACCTCCTGAAAGCCACAGGGTTGGGACAGAGAGGCTGGAAAAGTGGGAAAGGATCCGGGGGTGATGAACACGAGCCCAGGGGTGCCCAGGTGGGCAAGAGCTGAGCCGGTCCCTGAGCTGGCACTGCTGGGGCAGCTCCTGTGCTGGGGACAGCTCTGGGACAGGAGGGACACTGAGGGGCTGGAGAATTCCTGAGGGAGCTGGGAAGGGGCTGGAGAATTCCTGAGGGAGCTGGGAAGGGGCTGGAGAATCCCTGAGGGAGCTGGGAAGGGGCTGGAGAATTGCTGAGGGAGCTGGGAAGGGGCTCAGGCTGGAGCAAAGGAGGATCCCGAGGGATCTTTTCCCTCTCTGGAATTCCCTGGCAGGAGGGGACAGCTGGGGGGGTCGGGCTCTGCTGGCAGGGAACAGGGACAGGAGGAGAGGGAACGGCCTCAGGCTGGGCCAGGGCAGCTCAGGGGGGACAGCAGCAGGAATTTCCCCATGGAAAGGGCGCTCAGGTCTTGGAAGTGCCCAGGGAGGTTTGCAGTGCCCATCCCTGGAGGGATTTAATCCCTGTGGATGTGGCACTGGGCACAGGGGCAGTGCTGGGAATGCTTGGACTCCATGATCTTGGAAGTTTTTTCCAACCTCAAGAATTCCACAGCTCTAATTCCCAGCTGGTGCCCACAACACATCCCTGCTTTTCTTACCAGGTCTAAACTCTGCAGCTTAAATCCATACACAGCCCCTCGTTTGCTGCTGTTCATGTAATTCCCAAGGGCCAGGATGATCTGCCAGGATGAAACAGAGCAGAGCAGGAATTCTCAGGACAAATTCCTGGAAGTTTAGACATCCCTGGAAGGGGAGCTGAGATCAGACCTACCTCCAGGATCTTCTTGAGTTTCTGGGATGACTTTATGGAGACAGAGGCAGCGATTATGGCGTGGAGTTGCTGTGGGGAAACACGGGGAGAGCTTTGGTTAATGCACACCCAGCCAGCAGGAAAATCAACATCCAAACACTTATCCTGAAAAAAAACATTCCTGGTTTTCATCCATGGGACAGAGCATGGATGTCCCTCTGCCATGGAGCCAGGCTGGGAGAGCTGGGAATGTTCCCCTGGAGAAGGGAAGGATCCAGGGAGAGCTGGGAATGTTCCCCTGGAGAAGGGAAGGATCCAGGGAGAGCTGGGAATGTTCCCCTGGAGAAGGGAAGGATCCAGGGAGAGCTGGGAATGTTCCCCTGGAGAAGGGAAGGATCCAGGGAGAGCTGGGAATGTTCCCCTGGAGAAGGGAAGGATCCAGGGAGAGCTGGGAATGTTCCCCTGGAGAAGGGAAGGATCCAGGGAGAGCTGGGAATGTTCCCCTGGAGAAGGGAAGGATCCAGGGAGAGCTGGGAATGTTCCCCTGGAGAAGGGAAGGATCCAGGGAGAGCTGGGAATGTTCCCCTGGAGAAGGGAAGGATCCAGGGAGAGCTGGGAATGTTCCCCTGGAGAAGGGAAGGATCCAGGGAGAGCTGGGAATGTTCCCCTGGAGAAGGGAAGGATCCAGGGAGAGCTCAGAGCCCCTTGCAGGGCCTGAAGGGGCTCCAGGAGAGCTGGAGAGGGACTGGGGACAAGGGATGGAGGGACAGGACCCAGGGAATGGCTCCCAGTGCCAGAGGGCAGGGATGGATGGGAGATTGGGAATTGGGAATTCCTGGCTGGGAGGGTGGGGATGGAATTCCCAGAGCAGCTGTGGCTGCCCCTGGATCCCGGGATCCCTGTCCAAGGCCAGGCTGGACATTGGGGCTTGGAGCAGCCTGGGACAGTGGGAGCTGTCCCTGCCATGGCCAGGAATGAGCTATTCCTTCTCCCTTCCCACCCAACCCGCTCTGGGATGCTGGGAATGCTCCCCTGCCCTGACACTCCAGGATTCCAAACCGTTCATCTCCTGCCAGCTTTACCCCCTCAGAAGTGAGGATTTACATTCCAACCCCTACAGCCATCCCAGGCTTTCAGGAACACAATCCCAAGGGCCCAAGAGTGACTTTTCCCAACCACATTCCTTTGAGGGTGCTGGGGCTCCCCAGGGAATGGGCACATTCCCGAGGCTGCCGGAGCTCCAGGAGCGTTGGGACAGCCAGGGGTGCCCAGGGTGGGGTTTTGGGGTGCCAGGGCTCAGATCCCGTGGATTCCCTGCTCCCACTGACCGGGGTGAGCATCTGGATGCTCTCGGAGAAGTTGCCGATGAAGGCCATGATGGTCATTTTCTGCATGAGCCGCTCGATCTTGCTGAACTGCATCATGAACCTGTCCTCGTCAGACAGGTTCTCCAGGGGCTTCCTCTCCCTCTCGTACAGCCTCAGCACCTTCACCTCGTTCTCCGTGGGCAGGAACCGCATCAGGCATTCCACAAAATCCACCGGCAGCGTCTTCAGGTCAAACCTGCGGGAAAATCCCGGGAAAAGGCTGTGGGGACAAAGCTCAGCTTTGGGGAAGTGGCCGGGCCGTGGATGGCTCTGGAGCCTGGCTGGGAGAGCTGGGAATGTTCTCCTGGAGAAGGGAAGGATCCAGGGAGAGCTGGGAATGTTCCCCTGGAGAAGGGAAGGATCCAGGGAGAGCTGGGAATGTTCCCCTGGAGAAGGGAAGGATCCAGGGAGAGCTGGGAATGTTCCCCTGGAGAAGGGAAGGATCCAGGGAGAGCTGGGAATGTTCCCCTGGAGAAGGGAAGGATCCAGGGAGAGCTGGGAATGTTCCCCTGGAGAAGGGAAGGATCCAGGGAGAGCTCAGAGCCCCTTGCAGGGCCTGAAGGGGCTCCAGGAGAGCTGGAGAGGGACTGGGGACAAGGGATGGAGGGACAGGACCCAGGGAATGGCTCCCATTGCCAGAGGGCAGGAATGGGTGGGATATTGGGAATTGGGAATTCCTGGCTGGGCTGGAATTCCCAGAGGGGCTGTGGCTGCCCCTGGCAGTGTCAGTGGTGGGAGCTGCCCCTGGATGGACGGGATGGGCTTTCAGGTCCTTCCCAACCCAAAGCAATCTGGGATTCAGCTCCACATGAGGAAAATCAAGGAAGAAGCTGTGAAGCTCCTCCTGCCCTGCCCAGGCAGATGGGAACAGGATCCAGGGATAATGGGAATGATGCTGCTTCCATTCCCAAACACATGGCAGTTCCCCCACCCCTCCAGGCTCACTTTTCCAGGGAAAAGAGGTGGGGAGGAGCAAATATTTGTATTGAATTGGCCCAGAGCCCCCTAAAGCCAGGAGCTGAAGCTGCCAGGACCTGGGGCAGCTTTGGGTCACCCTCAGCCAAAGGCAAAGCTTGTGCATCCACACTTTGGAGATATTCCTTAGGGAGGAGTGGGAGGTGTTTGCCATGGCCAGGATGAGTCTGGATGGATTTGGGATCAGCCCCAAGGAGCAGCTACGGCTGTCCCAGGACAGGGAAGGATCCGGATCAGTTCCTGAGCCTGCTCCCCAAACCCAATTCCATGCAAAATCTGCTCCAGCACCCGGACCAAACCCATCCCTCATGGAGCAAACCAAAAGAGCCTCTTGCCGGATTTTGCTCACTGGAATGGGAAATATCGTGGAACAGACCAGGAGCTGCCCTGGCAAACTGGGCAGGCTGGACTGAGCTGCTCCAACCCCAACAGTGACTCAGCCACACAAAGCTGAGTTCCCGAGTTCCAGGCACTCTGATTTCTGGGAATTCACCACCATTCCCTCCTTCCCCAGCTGGAATTTTCCCATCAAGTGCCAACCCCAAACCGTTTCCCAGGAAAGCTGGGGCAGGATTCCTCGGCTGCAGGGGCTGCACTCACACGTGGATGGCTTTGCAGATCTCATCCGCCGTTTTCCCGGCTTTCCGAAGGGTGATGGCCAAATTCTTGGCTCTGTTGGCATCCAGCAGCGTGACTTTGTTGGATCCTTTCTGAGGGATCTTCTGCTTGCTGGAAGTCAGATCCATGGCTGGGCCCTGGGCTTTTGTTTTGAATATTTCCTCGAATTCATCCACGTTCAGATCCTGGGAAGGGAAGGAAAGGATTTCTCCTGCAGGGAATGCTAAATCCTCACCCAGAACTGCAGGAAAAGCTTTGACTGGATCATGGAATCATGGAATGGTTTGGGTTGGAATCTTAAGGCTTGTCCCAGTTCCACCCCCTGCCATGGGCAGGGACGCTTTCCCATAGCCCAGGTTTTTCCAGCCCTGTCCAACCTTTGGAATCTGGAGAGTTCTGTCAGAGGCTGAGGGATGGAAGGAACATTCCTGAGCTGGGATGAGGAAAGCTGGCCAGATCCCAGAAATCCAGCCCCAAACAGCTCAGGAATCCAGGAGAACTCTTGTGAGCACTACCCAGCCATGGATAAAGCATCCAGGGGAGCATCCAGGATCTGGAATGAGCCCTTTCCCCGTGGAGATCTCCCCACAATTCCCTGACAGGGAACAGGGACGGCAGAAAACGGGATCAGGTTGCTCCAGCCGAGGTTTAGCTGGATATTGGGAAAATATCCATTGGATACTGGGAAAACTCCTTCCTGACAAGCGTGGCCAGGCACTGGAAAAGGCTGGAACCCCCATTCCTGGAGGGATTTACCCCTGTGGATGGGGACAAGGGCAGTGCTGGGTTGAGGGCTGGGCTGGGGCGCTCCCAGAGCCTTTCCCAAGGCTGACATTCCATGATTCCAGGCTTTCCCGGGTACCTCCAGGATGCGCTCGTCGTCGATCTCGTTGAAGACGGTGCCGTTGATCTGGTTGGGCTTCAGGGCCACCCAGTTGAAGACGGGCATGCGGAACTTGGTCTTGATGGGCTTCTTGATCTTCACAGCTGGGGACAGGACACGGACAGCTCCTGAAAATCCGCCTGGGAACACCGCAGGGCGGCTCCCCAGCTGGAATTCAGCGCTGGAGAAGGACTGGGCAAACCTCATTATCCCACTGGAATCCTGGAAAGCTGTTCCTGCCTCCAGAGGCTGCTGGAGAGGGGAATCCCAGCCCTCAGCAGGACAGCACCAACCCCCAGGGCTCTGCAAACTTCCCAAAGGGAAATCTGGGATTCCTGTATGGCCACGAGGTGCCTGCACTGATCTGAACTCCCAAGCTCTGCCCAAATTCCATGGAAAAGGGGGACAGTGGGTGAATTCAGTGAATTCTGCTGCTGGCAGAGCCCGCTCTGACCAGGAGGGAAAAAAGCCCCGTTCCCAAGGTTTTGGGAAATGGGATTTGGGGGAACTGCAGGATCCTCAGCAGGTTTGAGTTTCAAGGCCAAAGGGTTGAGCTGCAGCAAAACTGGGCTTTAAAAGGGGTTTAAAACCAGGTTTTAGTTCCTGTGCTGAGCAAATCCAGCAAACCCGAGTCATTTGGGAACTTTGGAGTTATTCAGGAATTCAAACAGAGGAGCTGTGAAAATGAAACCTGGAAATGAGGCCTGATTGAGCAAGGGAACAACATTATTCCTATCCCTATCCCTATTCCTATTCCTATTCCTATTCCTATCCCTATCCCTATCCCTATTCCCATTCCCACTCCCTCCTATTTCTATTTCCATTTCTATTTCTATTTCCATTTCTATTTCCATTTCTATTTCCATCCTATTTCCATCCTATTCCCATCCCCATTCCCATCCCCATTCCCATCCCCATTCCCATCCCCATCCCCATTCCCATCCCATTCCCACTCCCACTCCCATTCCCATCCCATTCCATCTGAAAGCCACATGAATAATTTCCATAATCCAGTTCCCATTTCTTTTTCCTCACATGGGAACACAAATTTGTTCCTTGCTACAAAATCAATTTAATTAAAGTCCATCCACCAATCACTTGCTCCTGAATTACTTCCCAAAAAAACCTGGCAGGTGTGGAACACAAACCCGGATCCTGCAGTGCTGGATGCCAAGTGGATAACAGGGAATACACAGAATATTCCAGTGGGTATTTTGGGAATTGTATTTATCCAGCTTGTGCTCATCTACACTAAACAGGGTTTTGCTCTCTGCTAAATGGATGGGGTTACACAAAATTCCCAAAATAAAAGAAGGAATAGCCTTGAACACCCGTGCAAAAAGGAATTTTCACCTTGGAAAGGATAATTAACTGCTCCTGGGTTATTCCAGGACAGGGAAGGCAGGAATGGGAAAGACAATGGAGCTCAGAACTCCTTCTGATTTCCCTTCCTGCTCCTCGTCCCTTCCCGAGCTCCCAAATCCCGAGGGCTGGCTCTGACCTCCCCCTGCCCATCCCCTGGATACCCCCAGGAGCCCCTGGATACCCCCAGGAGCCAGGGAATGCCGAGATAAGGAATACTTAGCAGGAAGGAACCTACAGAAGAGCTTGATGGGCCCATCTTAGCAGGCAGCAGAAGGAACAGAGAAAAAAGTGTTAGGAAAGGTCAGAAAAGCAGCATTTGTTATTTCCCACCTCCCCCCGGCCCCACAGCGTTCCTGCCCTGGGAATGCTCCTTCCCATGGAGCCACTGCATCCACAAAAGGCACTTCCGGTCCCATTCCCTCGGAATTCCCAGTGAAAAATGGGATCTGCAGCTCCCAGGCCACATCCCGAGGGATCGGCCCTCCCTTCAGAGCTTCATTTTCCTACAGGACACCCTGGCATTCTCAGGATGCTTTTTGTCTTCCAAGGAACCTTTCAAGGCTGGAATATTTAATGAGATGTTTTGTCTTTAACGAAGCTCTTGATGAGAGTCTCTTGTTTTGAGCTCTGGAGATTCCTGGGAACAGCCATGAGCCCTCACTGGCTCCCCGGGACTCCTGGCACGGCTAAGGATGGGCAACAGATTGTTCTTCCTTCCAAAAAATACCCAAGTTTTGCCTTTTTTTTTCCCAAATTTCTACAGAAAAATTCCCAAATGTTGCACAGGTGTTTCTCCTCAGAAGAAATCCAACCCATATTCCATCAAAGTCCAAAATGACCCAGTTTGTGAAACGCTTTTGGTGTGAGTTTTGTTCTGCTGGAAAATCCAACTCTTCCAGACCAAACCCAAAGCGTTGGGTTGATAAATCCCAGAATCCCAGAATCAGGGACAGAGAGGATTATCCAGTTCCCCTATCCCAGGTGGCTCCAAGCTGACCTTGGACACTTCCAGGGATGCACGGGGCAGCCATGGCTGCTCTGGGCAGCTCCGAGACTGCGGAACGCTCCTTCCTTCTGCCAGCTCCGCATCCCAAGCCCAGGGAGGAGCTGGGATTTGGTTCTGGAGGGCTCTGGGGGTCCCTGCCCATCCCTGGGAGAGCTTTACCTGCCAGGCCGGAGTTGAAGACCACGGTGGGCGAGGCCGTGCCGGGCAGGGGGGGAGCCGAGGGCGGCGGCGGAGGGGGCAGCGGAACCGCCGGAGCCGCGTCCGGAGCCGCGTCCGGAGCTGGGCCCGGCAGAGGAGGAGGAGGAGGAGGAGGAGGAGGTGGTGGAGGAGGAGGAGGTGGTGGTGGAGGCTCCCAGGGCATCGCCACGGGGCCGTTGGGCACTGTGGGATGGAGGGAAAATGGAGTTAGCACGGAGAGAAGGGACACAAGGAAATGGCACCGATGTCCCCTCCCCGCCCGGAGCCACCAACGGCCTCCAGCAGCCACAGGTGACCCCAGGAAAGAAGGGACCGATTCTTCCAGCCATGGAAAAACAGATGGAGGGGACAGCCAGAGGGGGGTGACACCCTGCTCCCAGGGAACAGAGACAGGAGGAGAGGGAACGGCCTCAGGCTGGGCACCAGCAGGAAATTCCCCATGGGAAGGGAATTCCAGGGAGGTTGGGAATGCTCACCTGCCTCGGGGGAGCCCGGCAGGGCGGGCAGGGGTGGGGGAGGTGGTGGCAGTGGCACCGAGGTGGCCGCTCCAGGCGTGGCACAGGCCCCCGGCACCGCCTCGGCTCCCACCGGCACCGCCCCGGAGCCCAGGGCCACGGGAAGGATGGAGATGTCCCCATCCCCTTTCTTCTGGATCTTGATGGTTCCCTGTTTCTCCAGCTCGTGGATCTTCTTCTCCAGCGTGGATTGGCGCTGGATGGCTTCCTCCTTCTCCTTCACCATCTTCCTCAGGGTGTGAACCTGGCTGTTTGCATCCTTGTAGATCTCCTGGAATCACACAGGAGCGGGGAATGCGCGTTCAGAATTCCAAGGGCAGGATCACAGCAGCCTGATCCAGGGAGGGGACTGCACTGCACGTGCCCAGGGCAGCCCCCACAGAGGAATTCTGGATTCTCCCACCCTTTGGGACCTCCACAGGTCCAAAATTCCCACCTGGAATGCTCCAGACCTGGGGAATGAGATGTGTCCATCTCACTCAGTGATTCCTGGCACATCCAAAGGCATTTCTGTCCATCCTTTGAGCGCACACACAAACAATTCCACCTGGAACCTGCCCCAGCTCCAATACTGGGAAGCCAAGAGAATTCCCCTGCCCCAAATCCGGGATCTCCACTCCCTGCATCCTGAATCCATCCAGGGCTTCCCCATCCCACTCACCCGGATCACGTCCAGTTCTTTGTTCCTTTGCATGAGTTGCTTTTCCAGTTCTACAATCTTGGCCATGGCTTCGTTCTCCGTGTCCTGGAGTTTTTCAGATAGCTATCCAACAAAAGAGAAATGGATTAACTCCCTGGAAAACTGGGATTTATCCATCAAACTAAGAGCTCGCTTCTTGGGTAAATGGATAAATTACTGATATTCCAGGAAACCCTGGAGCCTTTCCTTGGAAAGGGAAGAGATTCCTGCCTGAGATGGGAGACATCAGGTTGGAATGGGCTTGGAGCAGCCTGGGACAGTGGGAGGTGTCCATGAACCATGTGGGTTTTAACGTCCCTTCCACCCAAACCATTCCCTGATTCCTGCAGCTCCTCAGAGGGGAAAACACTGCACAGCGAGCCAGGAGCATTATTCATTCCAAGTGGTGGGAATTCAGGGATGGGCGGGGAAGGAAAAGCCTTTTCTCAGTTTTAAAGTATGGAAAACCCTTTTTTTAAATTTTTATTCTTTTCCCAAAGCCAGGCCACGTCTTCCAGCCTAAAGGAACCGACACCAAGGTTTGGGACAGCAAACCCTGAGCGTCTACACCAGAGGATTTTCCAGCCCCTTCCCTCCTGAGCCCCTGTTTAAAACATGGCCAGGATGGTTTCTCCCCCATTTTGGGCCTGCTCTGCTGAGGAGCTGGAATTTTCTGATTTTGTTCCCAGTCCAGAGGCCCAGCAATCCCAAAGCTTTTCCCTCCTCCCAAATCCGGAATGCAGGTGGCACCGTGGGCCACTCACGTGGGACAGGTTCTCCTCCAGTTCCTCCACCCTCTCCAGGGCCGCGTTCTTGGTCTCCGCGTCCTCCAGCAGAGCCCCCACGTCGAAAACGTTGTCCAGGTAGGCCTGGATCTGCACCTGCAGCTTGTCACTCTCCGTGTGCTTCAGCTTCTGTGGGCACCGGGGACACAGGGACATGGACATGGGGACATGGGGACATAGGGACATGGACATGGGGACATGGGGACATGGGGACATGGGGACACGGGGACACAGGTCACACTAAGCACTGGGACAGTCCTGGCAGCTCAGGGCTCCTCCACCAGCCAGGGAATCCCTTTGCACACCGAACACCCCCAGCTCAGTTAGGCAGGGCCTTTCCCTCTGCTCCAGCTTCTCTGCCCATGGAAGGGCTCCCAGGGAATCTTCAGGGCCATTCCCTGCCCTTGGAGGGGATCACAGGGAATCTTCAGGGCCATTCCTTGCCCATGGAAGGGCTCACAGGACCATTCCCTGCCCAAACCATTCCATGATTCCTCTGTGCTCACTGGGAATGGCTCTGCCTGCTCCCCACGGAGTCCCCAGAGCCACCCCCAGACCCCGAGCACAGCCATGGCCGGTGCAGCCGTGTCCCAGCACATCCCACAGAGCCCAAACCCCTCTCCTGGTGGATCCTGAGCAAGGATCAGCAGGGACAAGGCATTCCCATGCCAGCAGCAGCAGCGTTTCCAGGGATGTGCTCCCAAGGACAGGGAGGAAAATGCTGCCTGCAGAGGCTGTGGCTGCCCCAGCCCTGGAAGTGTCCAAGGCTGGACAGGACTTGGAGCAGCCTGGGACAGTGGGGGAAACTCCTGCAGGTCCCTTCCAACCCAAACCACTCTGGGATCCCATGGAAAACAGAAAGAAGCAGCTTCCATCTGACAGACAGACAGACAGACAGACAGCAGAGGACTCCTGGCTGTCAGAGAATCCCAAGGGAGACTTTTCCAGCCTGGAGGAGGAGGGAGCCGGGTGGCTGGGGGACGTGGCAGGGCGAGGATGGCTGTGGTTCATCCTCCCTTTGTTATCAGGCTCCAGATTTAGCTGCAGGCTGTAATTGCAGCTGGCTGCAGCCCTCCCCTGCTGGCCCAGCTGTGGGACAGCCCAGAAGCTGTGGGGTGAGGGCTGGGGAGGTGGGAAAGGGAGGATTGGGAACGGGAGCAGCCCCAGACTCACATCCAGGTACTCATCCAGGCCCAGCTTGGTGAACTCGTACTGGAGGTGCACTCGGAAGTTCATGTCCTCCACGGAGTGCACCACGATGTTGATGAACTGCATGCAGGCCACCTGCAAGGACAGCCCAGTGAGCCAGGGATCCCCTGAGCAGCGGGAATGGGGCTGGCACTGGAGCAGCAGCCCCGGGAGCAGCTCCCCCTCGGAACATTTCCCCCCTGGAGAAATGGGAGATGTCTCCTGGACTGCTCCTCTGCCAGGCCAGCCCTGGCTCGGGCTCAGGGAATTTTGTCTGCTGGGATAAAGGGGGATGAGCATTCCAGGAGTTCAGTCCTGCCTGCAGAGTCACCTTCCCAGAGCGGGAATGCTCCGGAGCAGAGCAGGCACCAGGAAAAAACCCATCCTGGGTTTAACCAGGAAAAGTGAGGTTAATCCAGGCCTTGGGTTTAACCAGACTGGGAAAGTGAGGTTAATCCAGGCCTTGGGTTTAAACAGCCTGGAAAAGGGTGATTAATCCAGGCCTGGTTTTAACCAGCCAGGAAAAGGGAGATTAATCCAGGCCTGGTTTTAACCAGCCAGGAAAAGGGAGATTAATCCAGGCCTGGATTTAACCAGCCTGGAAAAGTGAGATTAATCCAGGCCTTGAGTTTAACCAGGAAAAGGGAGATGAATCCAGGCCTTGGGTTTAACCAGCCTGGAAAAGTGAGGTTAATCCAGGCCTTGGGTTTAACCAGCCTGGAAAAGGGAGATTAATCCAGGCCTGGATTTAACCAGCCATGCAAAAGGAGATGAATCCAGGCCTGGTTTTAAGCAGCCTGGAAAAGTGAGATGAATCCAGGCCTTGAGTTTAACCAGGAAAAGGGAGATGAATCCAGGCCTTGGGTTTAACCAGCCTGAAAAAGGGAGGTTAATCCAGGCCTGGTTTTAAGCAGCAGGGGAAGTGAGGTTACTCTGGGCCTGTGAGGTTAATCCAGGCCTGGAAGCCCCAGTTTAGGAAAGGGCACAGAAGGGCTTTGCTGGCTGCCCAAAGCACACTTCCCAAACTGAACCAGGAGCAGATCCCAGGATCCACACCCAGCCCAGCCAGGGAAGGCCAAGGCTCTCCAGGGTATGGGATGTGGGGACATCTGTGGAGTGGCAGGAATTGGGGGACAATTCCCAAAATTTGTCCTCCCTTTGGCACACCCTGCTGTGCCCCAGGCCTCTCAGGATCCCATCTGTCACCCCTGGAGCTGCTCCAGGAAGGAATTTCCCTCATCCTTGCTGGGTTTCTCATGGATAAAACCCCATCCCATGAGCAGCACAGCAACAGCAGCTTCCCACCATCCACTGGGATCCTTCCCAGATTCCCAGGAGGAACCTGAGGATTGAAGCAATCGGATTTTATCCCCAGGAAAAACCTCCAGGAGACTCCACGTCTCTGGGTCATTTGATGGGAAGAGCAACTGAAGGCACCTCTGGATCACCAGTTTGGCACTGGAATTTGGCCACTTCCCTGGGATCTGTTCCAGGGCCCAGAGGAAGAAGTGAAGGGATAAATCTGAGAGTGAAAACCAGGTCATTTCCTCCTTTTCTTTCGAAATCCCAGGAATTTGCCAGCCTGTCTCCCTCACACCAGCTCGTTTTTAACTTGCTGGCCCTCAAGGCTGTGATCCTGTCCTGGAAACATTCCTGGAGCCCTCAAATCCCACAGGAATCACCTCACTGGTGCTTTAACACCTGATTTTTGGCAGGAAAAGGTCTTTCACACAAAGCTCAGCACTAAATTGCTACAAAGGGCAACAGAGGCCTCAGAATTCCAGTGCTGGGGTGGGAAATGCTGCCCAGAACGGAGCCATGTCGGATCCAAGCACCGAGCAGGAATTCAAGGGGGATTTTTCCTGGTTAAAAGTGGGATTTCAGCTTCCAACACTCCAGCACAGACCTTAAAGCCCCAGATTTGGGAGATTTTTTTCCCACCACCAGCCCCAGAACCACCAACCCTTCAAGAGCCTCTGCCTGTGACAGCAGGGCCAGGCCCAGGGAAGGAAAACGATGGAAAAACTGGGAATTTCTGGGAAAATACCACTCACCATGAAGTCAATGTTGTTGTCTTCATTCCTGAAATGTTCCATGAGCTTCTCAAAGCGCTGCTTCTCCCCACACACCTGAAAACAAACACCACAGCCGGGCTCAAGAATTCCCACAGAGAATTCCCAATTTCTCTGCTTGTTCAGACCCTCTCGGTTTCCTCTGGGAAAAACACCCCTCCTCATAAATCATTCCATGTGCACCCCTGAGGAGCCAGGGGCCACTGTTGGATGTTTTAATTACAAAAAAAACCCTCTTTTTATCTCTTTTCTCCTTAAAAAAATAAAAATATTGGATTTTATCCATGAGTGGAAGGAGCAGAGCTGCACCAGGCTGTGCCACAGCTCCGAGCTGACTTTGCTCTGTAATTAGGGAGAAACCCAAATGACAGGGAGGGGAAAAAAGAGAAAATTACCCCTGGCTAAAGGAGGAGTGAAAATAAATCGGTGCAACAATCAGCTGGTCAGAATTCCAGAGCCACCTTCCCAAAAATTGTCTGGATTAGCTGAATCCAAATTAATTTTCTTGGTATTTCTTCTTGCCTTGGAGCAAAACCCATTGGATTCTTCAGAGTTATGGATCAGCTTCAGGAAAGCTCCTTAGTTCTGGGTTTATTTCCAAAGCACCTGAATCCTGGGTTTATTTGCAAATTCCAAATGATTTCCCACCCAGAGAGGCCACGAGCACGCCCTCCCCTCCCAAATGGGAATCCCAAAATATTCTGGAATATTTTTGTATGAAACAACACAACAGCCAGTGTTGGGAAGTGCTCCCTGCACACAGCCAGGATTATTCCTGGTTTATTCACTCAGATCCCACTTTGGATCCCTCAGAGCTCTCAGAGTGTTTGGATTTCAATGGAGCATCCCAAAGCTGTCCCACAGCTCTCCTGGAATTCCGCTCCTCCTGTAACTCCAGCCTCAGGCAACGCCAGATAAAACCAGGGAGCTGCTTCTCCCAGATCCATGGAAAGCAGGACAAAGGGCTGGGAATGCTGCTGAGGGAGCTCAGCTATCCCATTCCAGCAGCGTTTTCCTGCCCTGGGCAGCGCTGAGATTGTTGGAATCATGGTGAAAACGATGGAATGGCCACCACGGTGCTCCAGGGAAAACCTGCAGCTCATGGAAAACCCTTCCTGCCGGGAACTGAGCTGGATGAGGAGGCTCCAATCAATCCCAGGAGAAACAGGGACACCTGAATTTCCTAAAGCAGCTCCACCAACCTCCTTGAAGTTATCAAATGCAGACAAAATGATCTCGTGGCCCCCTCGGACGAGGCAAACGGCTGCCAGGAGCTCCAGCACCAGGGCCTTTGTCCTGTGGAGAAAACAACAGGAGATGCTCAGGACAGCACCTGATCCGTGATTCCCTGCTGAGGGAAAACGTGGGAGCTGCAGCCTCATCCCGTGTGCTTTCAGCCCTGGGAATGGACACCCCTGCAAGGTGCACGGTGCTGATCTGGGGAATTTCGCCTCTCCTGGCATCATGCAGCTCCCCCCATGTCTGAAAGCTTCTCAAACCATGCAGGGATTGAAATCCCAAGGTGGGAATCCAAGCAGGAAGGAGCTGGCAGCACTCTGGCAAAGGAGGTGTTTCCCTGCTCCCAGGGAATTCCCTGCACACACCTGGAGGAGCAGAACCACCTTCCAATTCCAACCTGTGCTTTCCCTGACACAAATCCCAGTTATTCTCCGTGATCATTTGGATTTTTAGCCACCTCCACACACACACACACACACACACAAAAAAAAAAATCACTGCAGGAACACAGGCTGTTGGAGCACGTCCTTTTCCCATAAAAACCAGGAATTTGAGCCGATTTTTCAGCAGTGAAACAGAGAGAAAACGAAATCACCGAGGGAAAGACATGCAGCAAACCCAGTGGAAAATCATCCACAGTGTTTCCTTCCAGGATTCCTGGAAAACAAAAGACCTTCTGGGCAGCTGAGCTCTCTCTCTGAGCAGAGGCAAACCATGCACACACAGAAAAAAATTAGTCCCATGCTCAAGCAGCGACTCAAAGCAGATGTTACAGAACAAGAAATACCTTGTGGGCTCTCAAAGGCTCAAGGTTATCTTTGGAAACCAGAAAAAATGGTCCCTTCCCTAGGAAATTTTAAATGGAATGTTCAATTCTGCCTCCTCGAGGGTTTTTTTTTGTTGTTTTTTTTCCTCCTGCCACAAGAACTTCCAGGGTTTTTCAGGATCAAGGAGATGCTGTGGGGATTTGCTGCAATATTCCCTCGGAGGGGATGGAGATCTCTGGGATTGGAGTCTCCAGTGCTGCCCACACCTCTGGGATGAGAATTCCCTGGAATTCTGCTGCTGCTTCCCCTTGGCACATCCCAGGCAGCCCTGAGCTCCCAAACCTCTCCAACAGCTCCCATGGGGCAAAAACAAGCTCAGTTTGGGATCTGAGCAGGGATTAAACCTCAGGTTATTCCAGTCACATCTGAAAGCAGTTTTTTTATCCACCAAAATCCAAAAAAACCCACTTCTTCCAAAAGTGAAAACTTGGCTTCTTCCCTGATCCCCAGGCACTGGAAAAATGATAAAAATGATGATAAAAATAATTTTAAAAAATTATAAAAGCAATAAACTTCTCATTTATTCTTGGCTTGCTGACTTGGGGCCGAATAAAAGGAAGAAGGAGGAAGCTGCTTCCCTCAGGACAGGATTCCTGCTCCAGCCTCAGCTAGGCTGGGAATCCACATCCAGTGCTGGTTCCCACCTCATCCCCCTGTTTCACCTTTCCTTGGAAGCATCTCTGGGGATTTGTTGGAGCTGCCAAGGTGCAGAACACCAGGATGTGCTGGAGGTGGGATCACAGGGATGTGTGGGAGAGGAGGGACATGGAATCACCAGCAGTTCCACTGAGGAATTCCAGCATCATGGCTGTGGCTGCAGCCTGAGCCACAACAGAAATTAATCCCTCCCCCAGAGAAATTCCAAGCTAAGGATCTTGGATAACATTTCCTAAAGAAGATTTTCCCTCTCTTCAGGAAAATCCCATATAGTTGCCAGTGGGGTTTCCCTGCACTGTAACAGAGCAGAAGGGCTCCAGCAGCCAAATTCCAGCTGAATCCCAAAATTCCAGGATGGTTTGGGTGGGAATGAGCTTAAAGATGATCCAGTGGCACCCGTGCCATGGGCAGGGACACTTCCCACTGCCCCAGGCTGCTCCAGCCTGGCCTGGGACACTCCCAGGGATCCAGGGGCAGCCCCAGCTTCTCTGGGAATTCCATCCCAGCCAGGAATTCCCAGTTCCCAACATCCCAGCTAAACCCACCCTCCCTCATCCTGGACCAATCCAAGCTGGAGCAGCTCCTGAGAGCGCTGCCCTCAGACACCCACTGCAGCTTTACCTGCACCATTCCAGTTCCACCCGATCCAGAGCCCAGGCTGGATTTTTCCCACAAATCCCCCTCTGGAAGGGCATTCCCAGCTCTCCTGGCTCACCTGCCAGCCCGAGGAGCCTACCTGGGGTTTTTGTTGTTGAGGCTCAGCGCGATCTCGTTGACGGCGTGCGGGTGGGACATGACCATGTTGAATCCGTACTGGGAAGAGAAGGGACGATCCCGCCTCGATCCCGTCCCGATCCCACCCCAAAGCCCCGATCCCACCTCTCCCACGGACTGAAAACCGCAGGATTTCCTTCTCCCACCCTCCTTATAATTTCTTTATATATTTTTAATTATTTATATTTAGGTATATTTTTATTTATTTAAATTTTATTTAATTTATAATAATTTAATTTAATGTAATATAGAATATATAATCATTATAATTACATATATAATATATTATATAATAATATATAATATATAATACATAATAAAATAATATATAATAATATATTAGATCATAATATAAAATATCTTATTATGATATATTATATGATAATATATAATATATAATACACAATAATATAAGATATTAGATTATAAAATAATGTATATAATAGAGTATCTATAATACATATAATATATATAAAATAATAATATATTATTCTAATATATTATTATGTATTATATATTTGATATTATTATGTACTATATATTATATATTAACAAATAATATATCATAATTATATATATTATATTATAATCTAATATATTATTATATAATAATATAATATAATGTAATATAATATAATATAGTATAATATAATATAATATAATATAAGCTATATTATTCTAATGTATTATTATGTATTATATATTATTATATAATATACCATAATTACATATATTATAATCTAAGTTATTATATATTAATATAATATATATAATATATTATATTGTATTATATTATATTATATTTTATTATATTACAATATAATATAATAGCAATATAATATAACAGCAATATAATATAACAGCAATATAATATAATATAATATAATATAATATAATATAATATAATATAATAATAACCTTATAATTACAACCTAATTAGCTGCATGCCTAATGAACACAATAAACACATCCAACCTCTTTATACCCTTTCCCAAAACACCAGATTTCCCAACAGGATTGCATCCCACCCCTTCCCATTCCAGTAAAATCCCCCTATTCCCGTCCACTTTAACTCCAGCATTCCCTTCCCTCTTCCCAAGAGGAATTCCAGGAATTACCTGGTAGTTCATGATGGCCCTGAGGCACATGATGCACACGTGGACATCGTCCTTCTTACTCACCAACCGCGAGTTCTTCAGCGTTCTCCTGCTCGGCAACGTGTTGTACCTGCAAAAATTCCCAGTTCTCTTCCATCCCAAACCTCCTTTCTGGGAGAGAAAAGCAAGGAAAGAGGAAAATCCATCCAACTGCTTCAGGATGAGGGAGTTTTCCAGAGGATGAGCAGGAAATGTTGGTGGGAATAAAGGAGGAAAAGGTCCTGGCAAGGATAAAAATGTGGATGTTTGATTCCAGCACCTCAGCCCTTCCTGCCAGCAACAGGGAATATTCCCAAAAAACCACAAGGATAGGGAATATCTCACTGGTTTATTGTGACTCCCTGGCTGATCCCATTTAAATCCATAAAAAAGGCAGGAACAGGGAATATCACACTGGGGTTTTTTTGACTTCTTGGCTCGTCCTTGCAAATTTAAATCCATAAAAAAGGCAGGAACAGGGAATACAACACCAGTTATTGTGACTCCCTGCCTCATCCCTGAAAATTCCATTAAAATCCATAAAAAAGGCAGGAACAAGGAACACCACACCAATTCCTGGCTCATCCCTGAAAATTCCCTGTTTAAATCCACTATAAAAGCAGGAACAGGGAATACCACACCAATTTATTATGATTCCCTGGCTCATCCCTCAAAATTCCCTGTTTAAATCCACAAAAAAGGCAGGAACAGGGAACACCACACCAGTTTTCATGATTCCTTCACTCATGCCTGAAAATTCCATTTAAATCCATAAAAAAGGCAGGAATAGGGAACACCACATCAGTTATTGTGATTCCCTGGCTCATCCCTGAAAATTCCCTGTTTAAATCCACAAAAAAAGCAGGAACAGGGAACACCACACCAGTTTTTTTTATGATTTTCTGGCTCTTCCCTGCAAATTCCCCCTTTTTAAAGGCCCAGCCCAAGAGGAACAAGGTCCCATTCCAGGCCTGGCTGTTCCCTGTCCCCAATTCCCAGATTTCCACAATCCCTTTCCCTTCCCGGCTGTGAATCCCCAAATTCAAAGCAGGATTCTGTTAAAGGAATTTTTATCTCTTTATTTTTTTATCCCATCCATAAATATGAATGAATCCATCAGCTCTGGGCACTGCAGGATTTCGGGAATTGTGGCCCAGTTTGGGATCAGCAGGGAGGAGCTGGATTTTGATGGCTCCTACATTGGTTTTGCTTGGATTTAAATTAGGAAGTGCTGCAGAATGATTTTCCATACATTAATTATCAGATTAATGAGGTTTTTATCAGGCCAATGTTGGAAGAAAATAATTTCCTCAGTGTCTGGTGAATCCCTGAATCCCTGAATTCCAGCATCCACCGGTTCTGTCGGCTCAAAGAAATGGGGAGAAGTTTCCTTAAAAAATAAAAAATGGCCAGAAATCCAGATTTGGGAATTTCCAGGTGCAAGGATATTCCAGCATGTCCAGGACTGCCTGGAATTCCAGCTTGGATCCAACCACCTGGATGAGAATGAGATGATCCCTCCTAAACCTCTCCATAGCTGGGTGGTTTTCCAGGACAAACTGGGAGAGCTGGGAATGTTCCCCTGGAGAAGGGAAGGATCCAGGGAGAGCTGGGAATGTTCCCCTGGAGAAGGGACGGATCCAGGGAGAGCTGGGAATGTTCCCCTGGAGAAGGGACGGATCCAGGGAGAGCTCAGAGCCCCTTGCAGGGCCTGAAGGGGCTCCAGGAGAGCTGGAGAGGGACTGGGGACAAGGGATGGAGGGACAGGACCCAGGGAATGGCTCCCAGTGCCAGAGGGCAGGGATGGATGGGAGATTGGGAATTGGGAATTCCCAGAGCAGCTGTGGCTGCCCCTGGATCCCTGGCAGTGCCCAAGGCCAGGCGGCAGCAGCTGAGGGCAGTGGGAGGAAGGTTGGAATTAGATCCCAAACCCTTCTGGAATTCCAGGACATTCCCAGCCCAGCGGTGCAGACATCAGCTGCTCAAACCCATCCAGGAGAGCAGTCCGGGGTGGGTCCCACAGGGATGAGAAGCTGAAATCCATCAGGGTTTTGGGAAGGTTTTGGGTTCCTTCCCTGGGGGTTGGAAACTTTGGGGTTTCCAAGCAGAGAAAAAATCCTTCAGAAAGGAAGTTTGGGGTTTGGGGTCATCCCAACAGTTTGGGGTTTGTGTGAGCTCCTGGAGCTGCTCACAGAGATGTTCTGGTAAATCAGGATGTATCTGATGAAATGATGATTTCCCCAGGCCCCTGAGCAGTGAAAGTGTCCCTGGCAAAGCCCAAATTCAGCTCCCAAAACCGTGTCCAAGTTACTGAAGGCACTCCAAAGCCATTTCTGGATTTGCCTGGATCGTTCTCTCCTCAGACTCGACAGATCCTGAAGGAAGAACTGAAGTTTCTCAGTTCAATCCACGTGAAAACTCCAATATTTTTCTCAGAAGAAAGGGAATTTCTAATGGGCTGGGACACTGCAAAGGCTGCATTAATATTTATCTGACAGCAGAGGCTGCCTCTCACTAAAGCTCCTTCTCCCAAAAAAAGCAGCAAGAAAATCCCCCAAGGTTTTTCTCCCTTTTTCATCCTCCTGCCCTCATTTTGGTGTCGATTTCCCAAATCCCTGAGCCTCCTCTCAAGGAAAAAAAACCCTCCTGGTTTCCAGGGAAACGCAGGGATGGGGGAATTGAAGCTGGAATTAGAGAGGGAAGCACGGATGGAGCTCTGCCCATCCCAGGCCAGCTCCTGCATTTTGAATTATCCTGGATTATTCCTCCAAGAGGGAACAGCAAATCTTCCAGCCTGGGGCAGCGGGAGGAGTCCCTGCCCCTGGAATGGGATGAGTTCAAACCCTTCCATCCCAAACCAATCCGGGATTTTGGGTTTCCTTCCTCCCACTGCACAGTTTCCACCGAATTCCAGGAATTTCCACGCAGCCTGGGTGTCCACACATCCCAAAAATCTCATTTATCACCCGGAGAGGGGGCAGAACATCCTGGTTTTACCCCCAAAAAAACCTCACCCTGCACCCCCTCCTCAGTTGAGCACCAGCCTCGTTCTGAGATTTCCCTTCATTCACCAATATTTACTAATTATAAAAATTACAATTGAAAAATTATAATTATAAAAAAAATCTATTATTCTATTTATATTATTATCTATAATATTCATAGATAATATAATAATAATAAAAATATATAATAAATAAATATAATAAAATATAATAATTATATATAAAATATCAATTCTTAATATAAATATAAAATATAGATAATATTAAAGCATTATAGTTATATATTTATACATATGCATTTACATACTTATATACTTGTATATTTATATATTCATACATTTATGCATTATTTTATTTCTATTTTTATTATATTTATATTAAATATTTTTATAATCTGTGTATATAAATATAATTATTTTAAACTTTATAGATATAAAATATTCTAACTATTAAAAACTTTATAGATATAAATATAATTATTTACAACTTTATAGATATAAATATTTTAATTATTTAAAAACTTTATATATAAACATTACAATTATTTTAAAACTTTATAAATATATTGTAATTATTTAAAAACTATATATATAAAATATTCTAAATATTAAAAACTTTATATATAAATATAATTTTTTTAAACTTTATATATATAAATATTATAATTATATAAAAATTTTATATATATAAATTTTACAATTATTTAAAAACTATATATATAAAATATTCTAATTATTAAAAACTTTATATATAAATATTAAAATTATCTTTATATATGTAAATATTACAATTTTTTTAAAACTTTATATATATAAAACATTCTAATTATTAAAAACTTTATATATAAATATTATAATTATTTAAAAACTTATATATATATAGTTTAAAACTATATTTGTAATATTTTTTTTAACTTTATATATATATAAATATTTATATATATATACAAATATAATTAATAAAAGCCCTCCCTTCTTAAAAATCTCTCACCTACCTTTAACTTTCAGGGGATTTTTTAACACAGATAATCCCCAGCTATTGATAAAATACACTTTTAAAAACAGACCTTTAAAAAAAACCCAAAACCTGCATTTTCAAAACCACCTAATTTTTTAAAATTCCACATTTTGAACAAAACCCATGGAAAAGAATATTAAAAACCCAGATTTAAGAAAAAAAAAAAAGCCAAAGCAACCCTCCCAAACGCAATGCAAAGACGGTACTGAGAAGGTTCTGGAAGCAGGAGGGGAATTTTGGCTGGAAAACTCTCCCAGGTCCCGTTTCCGTGGTGGTTTTGGGTCCGATCGAGTTTTGTTTCGAACAAAAAAGGGAAATCGGAGGGACAAGCACCACGAGCTCTACGTGTACCAAACACAACTAGCTGCACCAGCAGGAGGAAAACTCAGCTCTTCCACGCCAAGCCTTTCCCAAAATCCCGCCCTGCGGAAGCCAACTACGGGATCGGGACGGGATAACGGAGCCCGGATCCCTTCTCCTGGGGATCCTGTGGGATCGCGTCAGCCACGGCCTGCTGGGACGTTCCTTCCACTCGGACTTACGGGATTTTCCAGAGGCAGTCGGCTGCCGAGCAGCTGCGGCAGCGTTTGAGCTGGAGGTGTTCGGGCAGAGAAAGCGATCTGATGGCGCGTGAGAGGAGGTGACAGCGCCGGGAAAGAGCGTCCCAGCGGGAACAGGGAATGGGGGAGATGTTGGAGTGGGGAGTCAGCCGGGTGAGGAATAAAGGGAGACGTGAGGAAGGGAAAAGGGTGGAAGGAAATGAAGAGAAACAATGTAAGAGACACGTAAGGTATTCCTGATTTAGGTATTCCTAATCCCGAGTGCTCCTCCCGAGGACACGGCGGAACCGGCGCCTCCCGCCGGCTCGGGCTCCGCCACTTCTGGCAGAAGGAAGAAGCAAAGAGCACCAAAACCACCAGAATTAACCCCAAAATCATCTGGCCAAGTGATCCTGCTGCACTCCACAGCCGGATTTCTTTCCCAGAGCTCTCTGGGAATTAAATCTTCCAGGTACAAGGTTTGGAAGCACTTAACATCAACCCTGGGGCCGAGGTCACTGCCTGGCAAAGCAAAACCACCTCTGCTGGAAGGGATGGGATGGAAGTGAGGCTCCGCTCCTGGAATCTGCCGTGCTCCCAGGACTGGGGAGTAAAACTCCGGAAAAATCATCCCACAGGATCCGGCACTCGGAGCCTGGCCTGAGGGACAGTACTGGGAGCTGGGGTGGAGTGGGACATCCAAGGGATGGGGGAGAGGTGACTGTCAAGCAACCCTGGGAAGTGATCCTGCCTTTTCCATAAATAAAACAAAAAAAAAAAGGAACATTGGGAAAGAGACACTTGGTTGTCAAGCGTGGAATGGTGAGAGGGTGACAGCGGGTTTGCGGGAGGGAAGTGGCCTTTCCAAAGAATCCAGTATCCCATCCCTGGCAGCACGGAAGGAATGTGCTGCTGGAAGGGACAGGACACGGGATGGATGCGGCTGGATCTATGGAAATGTTGAGCTCCATTCTGGAGAAGAGGACAAGGAATCGCATCCTCAGCTCATCCTGCCCTTGGAAGCGATTCCCACCTCTGAGAGCTTCCTTCCACCTCACAGCAGCCTCGTGTGCCACACCTCTGCTGGGAGCTGAGGGATGTCCCAGTGGGAAGAGCCGTCCCACACCGCGATTCCCAAGGATTCCGTACCGGAGAGTGGAGTGCCGGCCGGAGCGGGAGATGCTGTTCCCAACAGGAGAGGGGAGATTGCTGCCCCTGTGCAGGTCCTCGATGGATCGGCTCCAGGGCTTGGACTTGTCCATGGAGCTCTCCACGCTGTTCTCCAGGCTCTCAAAGTCAAACCTGCAAGGAAACGGGAATTCCAAGGCGGGGTTAGGCGGAAGAGACGCGCGCGGAGTTCTCCTTCCCGCCGCGGGTTTTGGTGGAGTCAAAGAATCACCGGACAAAGCCAAGGGGGACAAAAGCAAAGGAAAAGCTCTCCAAGATCATCAAATCCAGCTGATCCAGGTGGTCCCTTCCCACCCAAACCATCCCAGGGTTCTGTGAGCTCAGCAGGAGGGTGGGAAAGGAGAGTTGTGGTGCTGGAGGGACACGGAAAAGTCCAGAAAACAGGATGAGCTTCACGTGGGGAAGGAAATTCCGGAACATTCAGGCTGGGAAAGCCCTCCAAGACCATGGAATCCAACCATTCCCAGCCCTGCCAAGGCCACCAGTGACCCTGGTCCCACATCCTCAGGGCTCTGAATCCCTCAGGGCCACATCCAAACGGGACCAAACAGCTTCTTCAACGTAAAATAAATCCAAAAATAAAATTAAAATAAAATTAAATTAAATTAAATAAATAAAAATAAAAAATTTAAAGAAATCAAAAAAATAAAAAATAAAATAAAATAATAAAAAAATAAAATAAAATAATAAAAAATAAAAACAAAATAAAATAATAAAATAAATAAAAATAAAAAGGAAAAAAATTAAAAATTGAAAATAAAAATAAAATAATATTTAAAAAATAAAAATTAAAATAAAATAAATCCAAAAATAAAAATAAAAATATAAAATAAAATAAAATAAAATAAAATAAAATAAAATAGTTGTTTGCTGCGGAATATCCCTGCCTGTAAGGAAAAAGTGGGAATTCTGGGAGCTCTCTGATTTATGATTTATGGATTCTCCATAAATCAGCTGTGCAAGCACCACTTTGGTTTCCTCCATCCCAGTCTGGCCCCACAAACCTCCCAGCACATTCAAACATCACCACAATCATCCCAGATTCCCTGATTTCTGACTCCCTGCCCGCTGTTCTGCTATTCCAAGCAGGAATTGCTGGTTCCCCTTCCAGCTCCTGAGGTTGTTACTCATGCTCCCCGTGCCAGAAGGGAAAAACCCAGCGAGTTCCTCGCGTACATTTATAGAAATTTAGGAAGAAAGCCTTTGTACAAACATTTCTTTTTGCTGTGCACCGTTTTTTCCAGCGGGTAACATTTGAAACCAAAGGATTTTCCCTCATAAATTTTCCTGCAACCCCACCACAAATCTCTTTTCTGGGCAGTGACGGACGTAAATCCACTAAAAATAAATTATCAGCTCTCCCCAGCTTGAGTTTCTACTCTTAAATTATCATTAACCTAAGGCTTCTTTTTCATTTTTACGGGAAAAAAAAAGCTGTTACGATATCCTGAATGAATGTGGATTCATTCCCCACAGCCAGGCTGGATGGGGTTTGGAGCACCCTGGGATAGAGGGAAGCTCCCTGTCCATGGCAGGGATGGGCTTGAGGGTCCCTCCCAGCCCAAACCAGTCTGGGCTGATTCCACACCAGTAAAACCAACTCCCAGCTGAAGATCTCCACTGAAAGCTGATTTTCCCTGCTGGTTTCTCAGAGCCCATGTCATGATTTATGAGCCAAACAACTCAATCTGATCCCAGCTTCATTTTCCAGTCTTCCCAACTTCCCAAACACCCCTGGAATTGCCCCAGGAAAGGCTCCTGGCACATCTGCTGCAGCACCTGGGGGCTGGGAATCCCTTGGAACACAGCAGGAATACAAAGCCCTGGGCTGGGACACCAATTCCAAACCTATTTCCAAGGAATCCTGCATCTTTGCACACGTTGTGGGATGGGTTTTCCACCCCTAAGGTGGCTCAGAGACCAAAGATAAAAAATATATATGAATAGAGATGAATAATCCCAAGATTTAAATTCAGGATTTTTTGGGTTTGTTTTTTTTTTGTTTGCTGTGATGAAATAATTCCAGACTCACATCAGGATTTCCTCTGCTCTCAGGCCCACAGAATCATGGAATTATTGAGGCTGGAAAAAACCAGAACCACCAAACACTTCCATGCCCACCAGACCACTTCTTGAACAATTCCAGGGATTGTGGTTCCACCACTGCCCTGGGCAGCCTGTTCAGTGCTTAACCCCTTTGGAATGAAGGAATATTCCCTAAAATCCATGGATTTGCTGGCAGGAAATCCTGGGAATGTCTCACTTACGTGACTGCATACTGGGCAAAGGACAGGTATTCCACCAGGACATCCAGGCCTTTGTTCTCCTCATTCAGGAACTCCCTGACCCATCTGTGAGAGAAAGAGCAGACATTAGAGCCTTCCTGGGGAGTTGGAATTCCCTGGAATTCTCAGAAAAACCGGAGACAGAGCCACTGGGTCTCAGGGGAAAAAAAAAAAAAAAAATTAAATTTTATTTTTGCCTCTTTTTTAAAAGGTGTGCACCTGTTACAGTGAATTCTGGCCCCTGGGTTGTGCAAAATAATTCAGGAAAGTCCATTTGTAGTCCAAAGCTTTGAAAATGCCGAGAAAAAATTGAAAATCCATCATTTTAGGGGCAAATCCAGGGGGAAAAGGAACTTCAGCTCTTCTCTAAACCCCAACTGGGGCAGCAAATCCCCTGGGAGTGGCTGGGATGAGGGAATCCAGGGAGGGAAGTGGAGCTCCAGGCTCGTGGAGTGGGAATTCATCACCTCTGACTTATTCTGATCCTCAGGATGGACATTTTTTATCATTTCCCTGTGAAAATAACTGGCCTGGGTTTGGAAAGTCCTTGTTTAAGGATTCAGGGGCTGAAGGAATGAACATTGGTGCTGTTCCCTCTTTTCCTGATGCAGCACTGAGGCTCCTCCTGCTCATCCCAAATCCAAGAGCATCCAAGGATTCCCCAAACCTCTGGTGGGGAATCCTTTGTGTTGGAAAAGGAGGGAAAACCTGGCAGGGGTGTGGGAGGAGTTTTTGGGATGTGCAGCTCCTAGGAATGTTCCCATCACCCAGCTGGGACTGCAATTCCCCCCACAGCTTAAAACAGCCCCTAATTCCCTCCAAATCACAGCAGAATCCCCCAAAAAATCGATGGAATTGAGCTGGCCACGGTGTGTGATCAGGGAGAAAAACACTGGAAAAGCTCCCAGTGCTCCTGGTCCCACAGGAAGGTGGAATTGGTGGGAATGTGGATGGGAAAGGGATGCCTGATAAAAAAACAAAACCTCTGGCAACAATGCAAATAATAAAAATAAAAGTAATTAATAAATAAATAAATAAATAAATAGGAAATGGAAATAAAAAATGAAAATAATAATGAAAATAATAATAATGAAAATAATAATAAAAATGAAAATAATAAAAATGAAAAGAATAATGAAAATAAGAATAATAAAAATGAAAATAATAATGAAAATAATAATAATTATAATGAAAATAATAAAAATGATAATGAAAATAATAATAATGAAAATAATAATGATAATGATGATAATAATAATAATAGTTCTTCCTATTATTTTTTATTATTATTATTAATATTAACATTAACATTAATATTAATATTATTAATGGCACCAGAGGCATAATAAATTCTCACCCAATGTGGTTTGTCCTCAAGGAAATTTCCAGTTCTCGGAGCACTTGGGTTGACTCCTGGACTCGTCTCCTGAATTTCTGCAATGGAATGGGCAGCAAAAATAACAATTAGGCTCTATTAAAAAATCTCAACATCTCACCCAGCACAAAGGGAATGAGGAAAAGATGGAGCTGACTGAGAACTCCTCTAAATCCTCAGGAATGCAGCAACAGCAGCCCAGCAGTCAACAAAAACACAAAAAAGAGAGAAATCCTTTCTGTTCCCAGGAACATCCTGCAGCTTCCAGCATTAAGGAAATTAAAAGCCTGGAGATAAATAAACATTTCTTTATAAGCCAAGCTTTGGTGCAGCATCAAACTTTCTCCTGCAGGCTGCAGAGCTCCTCTGCTTTAGAAAATGAGGTGAAAGGGGCACCTCAATCCCATCTGGAGCAGCATTGGAGGATCCTCTTCTCCCTGCTCATGGAAAAGTGCTGAAACAGCTGGAGAAACCCCTCTGGAGCAGCTGTTTTGGCACATTCCCATCCCTGAGAGTTAAATGGGAGAAGAAGGGTAAGGGCAGGCTCAGGTGGGATATTGGGAAGGAATTCCTGGACGTGAGCACCGGCTGAACTGGTGCCACCACTCAATCCCAGCAAGGGTCCGGGTGGGATGAGCTCTCCCATCCCTGCGGAGACGTCTCCGGGAAGGGCTGATCCGGAACAACCCCGGGGCCAGCAGGAACTCGGCATTTCCAGCCCCTTTGGGTTTGTCATTTGGCACCTCGGATAAGAAAGGCTCCAATGTGAGCCCACGGAGCGAAGCCAAACGCGGAACAAACTCCAAAACCCTCCGGAGAGAAAAACCACAAAGACCCCGTTCACCGGGCTGGGAAAAAATCCACAGGGGAAATGTCAAGGTTGCCTTGGAAATGGCTCCCTGCTCCTGGCTGGAGGCTCCCACAAGAGCAGCACTGTCCCAGGGCTGGGAGCACAGGGACAGAGGGGCCGGAGCAGGATCCATGTTTTCCACAGGGAACCCACCCTGGATCACTGCAGGGAAAGTTTGGGATAACGGAGCCAGGCCAGGGTGGGACCTGCTGGGCTCTGCAGAATTTCTGGGTGCGTTTTAGAGGCTCTTGTAGCTGTCACCATGGATGGAGCTGATCCCTATGGATGGAGCTGATCCCCAGGGATGGAGCTGATCCCCAGGGATGGAGCTGATCCCCAGGGATGGAGTTGTCACCACAAACAGTGCACTCAGCTGCATCAATCCTCTGTCAGGCAAATTCCCAGAGAAAAGGACTCAAAATATGGACACCCCTTCCCAGGGCTGAGCCAGGGGCATCAGACAGGGCTTTAGCCAAAGCCAGGCCTAGAGCCCAGCTCAGAGACAATTTATCAGGTTATTTATCCACGCTCTGTGCGAGATGATCCCTGGCTTCCCAACATCTGCTCTCCTTCCCAAGCTGGAAAACTGCAGCAAATTCCCAATTTCTCTCTGCTTCTCCCTGAGACTTTGCACAAAGGCAGGAAGGAACCTGGACCATGGTGGCTGAGGAATGAGGGACAGGCAGGAGGAACCAGGATGCTCCTCACCTTCCTGGTCACTGCTGGGTCCAGATACCCCTTCAGCTTCTGGATGTACGTGTGTGGAGGATTCTTCACTTGGAATCTTTCCTGGAAAAGAGACAGGAATAAACATCAGCCATTTTTCTGTGTTTATCCAGGAAACTCTTGCACCACGTACATATTAAACAATTTATATTTTAAAACATTCTGGTCCTAAGTTGATAACCTGTGTATGCAAATAAAAGAGATTTAAATGGATTTTGACATTTACATCAACAGCACAAAAAGACACCTTAAACATTCAGTGGGAATTCTGAATTTTAGCTGCATATCCATCTGAAATTCCAGGGTTTCTGCTGAGCAGGAGCATGGAGAGAGGAAGGAGAAGGGTCAGGATAGCGATGCATGCACCACCACAAAATCCTTTTTAACCACTTGGAGAAAACCTTCCACCATCCCAGGCTGCTCCAAATCCCAAATCCAGCCTGGCCTTGGGCACTGCACTCCCAGGGATCCAGGGGCAGCCACAGCTGCTCTGGGAATTCCATCCCAGCTCCTCCCAAACCTTCCAGCCAATCCCCCCTCAGCCCCAGATCACACCAGCTCTGTCTCCTGAGAGCTCCCGGATTTTTCCCTGCTTTCCCAGTGTCCAGCTGGAAGTTTATCCCACCAAAGCTGCTGTGAAACATGAGCTGCTCCACAGGCAGAGAGTGCTGTGTCCAAACCTCCTCACAGCATTCCCAAAAATTCTAATCCTATTTGTATCTTGGAAGAACTTTAAGCTATTCTGCCCCTTTCCCTGGAGGAAAGATCTCATCCCAACCTCCTGAAATTTCCCATTTTATAACTGTTATCTGAAACCTCCCTTTATTAGTTCAGGATGCAATTCTGACTCCGTTATCCCAAAGTTATTCCAGAATGAACAGGACACTGCTGCCCAGTTACCAGAACTGTCTGAACACCACAAGTTCTTCCTGTTATTAACTTGCTGCTTGCTGGGGAAAAAAAACCAAAAAAAACATCATGGCCAGCAGGAAAAAATGAAGGAAAAACTTTTCCCTGAGCTCCAACAGCCCTGGTGGGAGCTCTGGAAGTCACAGAGCACTCATGGCTTTCCTCTTGCACAGCTGGATTCTTTTTCCGTGCGCCTCCACACAGTTCTGGAATTGGCATTTCCTATTTTATCTAAAAAACAGCTCAGAAAATGCAAAGTTCTTCACTGAGGGTTCTTCTCTGGACAAAGTGCCTCCAGCACGGTCTGTCCTGCTCCAGTACCATGTCCACCACTGTGGATTCTTCTTGGCTCTCTCTCAGGGATTCTGGGAGCCAGGCTCACCTCGGTGGCTCCAAGGGGCAGACAGAGATTTCCTGGGATCTCAGAGTGCTTTGGGTTGGAAGAGCCCTTAAGGATCCTCCAATTCCACCCCCAGCCACGTTCTCCTGGCAGCAGGATCCCATCCCAACAACGCTCCACCTTCCCTCTCCCATTTCTCCCCCTGTTTCTGGGGGCTCTCTCAGAGCTGTGCTCAGCCCAATCCCCCAGAAAAGCCCTTCTGCTCTTCTGGATTCATTTCTCTTCCCAAGTAATTGACCCTCATCTGCTGAAGTGACAAGAGCTTTTCCCAAACACCAGTTTTAATTGCCTGGAATCTTCAAAATGAAATGTTTGAAGAGCCTCACCAAGCTCATTTAACAGTCTGGGATGCAGCTACTGCATGGTTTTGTTTGTTTTCCTCAAACCTGGCTGTAATTATGTATTTATGTAATAATCTCTGCAGCAACTCGGCTTAAAAAGACGCTGCTGGTTCTTGTGGAGTGGAATTATTTGGGTTAAAGGATTTATCCACGAGCAGCAAACACCAGCAATGCTCTTACCTGAGGAGTGACCAAAAACCACTCGTGGTTAACATCTCCTAGGCCTGGAAACATTTTTACAGCCCCTTCAAGCATTTCTTCTTTGCTGGTTTGGAAAGCTATGAAGGATTAGCCTTTAAAATGCCCTTTCCTGGCCATGATTCCTGTCTGGGTTTATCCAGCTCCGAGTGTTTTATATTAGAGGCTGATTAAGAAGCTGCGAGGGCCAGGGTTGGGGCTGTGCAGTGAGGCCTCCAAATCACCCTGGAGGTCTGGTCACAACCACCCTCTTCCCAAAAATCTGACTGGGAGCTCCCAGGGGTTGGGAATGGAGCTGGTTGCAGGCTGATCTTCCTGGAATCCGCTGGAATTGTCTCGTGGTCCATCCCACACTTCCCAAAGCACTGCTCTGCCATCGAATCCATAATTAAAGAGTTAAAAATCCCTGCTTTTTTTCCTGTCAGCTCCTCCCCTCCACTTCTGGCAATTCCCACCCACACCCTGGCCAGCTCAGCTTCCAAACTCAGGATTTAACACCAGCTGAATGACGAGGTCGGGGATTTTTACCACACGCATAAAAAGCCTAAAATCCGGATTGGAGCGGCCAAACTTTGCTCAGCAAATGCTGTGGGGTGACATCACGACTGGGACGTGGTGGCTTCCCTGGATTGAGCCATTCAGACACAACAAAGTTCCTAAATCCTGGTGAAACCTTTTTTATCTCCACTACGTGACTGCTGTGAGCTCCAGCATTATCTGCAGGGAGCAGCAATGACTCCACACTGCCTTTGTCCCCAAAGCAAACGAGCTTAATTCCCAAAGATAAAGGCCTTTTCTGACTTGGAAAATCCCTGAGGAGCAGTGGTGTAAGCCAGGATGGAACAGCACAGAGGGAATGAAAGGAGAGCAGCAGCACTGGAGAGGAAAGAGATGAGCCGGGCCCAGCATCTCCCTTTGGGGGAATAAACGGAGAATTCACTGGGATTAAATTCTGACAGGGATTTGGGATGAGGGATGGAGGGACAGGACACAAGGAATGGCTTCCCACTGCCACAGGGCAGGGCTGGATGGGATATTGGGAAGGAATTCCTGGCTGGGAGGGTGGGGAGAGGCTGGGCTGGAATTCCCAGAGCAGCTGTGGATCCCTGGAAGTGCCCAAGGCCAGGCTGGGATAACCTGGGATGACGGAAGTTGTCTCTGCCCATGGCAGGGGTGGGTCTGAATGGCTCTAAAGCCCTTTCCAACCCAGCCCATTCCATGATCCCACAATCCAGAGGAAAAGCCTGGAGGCAGGAGCACAACACCTCTCTGGTGCCTCCTTCACCCAGAATCAGCACTTTGTTTTCCTACGGATACAGGAAAAAAGGGGAACCTGGGGGGGCTTTACTTCAGCAGCCAAGAGGAACTGCAGGACTCCTGCACTTCCACGTGATCCTGCAAAGAACCCGGCACATCCCCTGATCGCCCAGCTCTGGAAAACGGATTCATTCCGGAACCAGGAAATTGTGGCTTTCCCAACAATCCTTGGCTCCCAGAACCATTCAGGACATTTTTCTACATTAGCACATATGTTATTCTCATTATTATCATTATCCTCACTAAGCTGTTTCGTTCTTGGGATTCACAGATGCCGGGGAAGCGCCCGGCGCATCCGACTCGGGATCGGAATCCCACAATGCTGGGAGTGCATAAATCCCACGGATTGGGATCAGTGGGGAAGGAGATGGACAGGGGAGACGGGGAGCAGTGTCTCAAGCACATCATGAATGCAGTGCAGAATTCCTCATCTCCTGCAGCTCCTGTGCCAGCATTCCCACCAGCAGGACAACGTGTGGCTTTGGAAGTGTCCTTGTGGAATGAGGTGACAGCAGCTGCTCATCCCTGCACTGACGAGGAGTCACAATGATCCATTCCCCCCGGGATTAACATCCTGCCAAAGCAGGTCAGCACTGAACCCAGCTGCTGCTCCCTCCCATCCCAGGGGTGCCGAGCTCTTCCCAATCCCAAATCGCTGAGCCTGTGACTCCTGGTGCCTTTATCTCCAACCTCTCCATCCCTCCTCGTCTGATCTTCCCTGAGCCCCCTCTCCCAGGGTGACCCAGTCAGACGGAAAAAGCCACGAATGTCCCGAAGTCCAACTTCTCCTGAATTCAGTAAACCACGGGATTTCCTGCCCTGTATTTACCCCCAGAGGGCAGATTCCCTGCATAAAAAACTATGCTTTTTTAAGCAAAGGCCCTCAAACCAGAGTTGCAAATGGTTTCTGCAGCCATAAAAAGCGATGGAAAACCCTTGGCTGGATACTGGCCCTGGATCTGTGCTGTGAAAGGGTCAAAGGCACCGTAAGGGCTCCGGTTCCCCCAGCACGTTCCTGAGGAGAAATCTGGGCTCCACTGAGGAATTTGTGACAAAAAATGGCACAGCACCCCCACAACACCCCGCTCCTCGCTCAGGCCCTTCTCCAGCAGCCATCCACGGATCCCGTGGGCAGGGAAAGCCTTTGGAAGCAAAGCTGAGGGCTGGGCCACCCCAAGAGCCCCAGGCTGGCCACCAGCCTCCAGAACACCCAGCGCCTGCCTTCTCCTGGAGCTTCAGCAGGGAAGGAAGAGCTCTCCAAACCCCTCAGGAGGAGCTTTTGGGTGCAAACCTCCCAGGTTCCCTGTGGAACTCCCCATCCCTTATTCCCACCCGCCGTGCGTCCCAGGGCCAGCCCGCGGTGACGCCCCTGCCACCCTTTGCCATTAGAGGGACACAAAGAACTTTGCAGGATGTCCCCAAGGCCTCCCCTCCTCACCCCCCTCCCTCTGCAGCCCCTCCTGGCACCCAGCTGGACAGAGCCCTCCAAAAAAAGCCTTTTCCGATGCCATTCCCTGATTTCCAGCCCAGGAAATGGCATCCTTGTCCCAACACCAAGCCCCAGGTGGCCACCCTGACCCTTTCCAACAGATCTCCTGGCTTTCCTCTTCTTCTGCTGCTTGTGCCTTATCCAGAGAGGTCAGAGCAAGCTCTGAGGACAATTCTGAGATGATTTGATAAGTTTATAAACGAAGGGAGAGAAAATTCCACGTGGGATGAGTCCTCCACAACCAGCCCAGCAGCCCTTACAATGATTCAAACAATGCAAATCATCCTATCCATGACAGATTATTATTATTATTATTATTATTATTATTATTATTATTGTCATCATCATCATCATGATAAAACCAGTTCCCCACTTTTGTTAATCTCATTTTTGCAAAAGTGAGAGTTCCTTTATGGGGATTAACTCCAAATATTCCACAGATAAATATTCAGGATCTGCTGCTGAATATTTATATATATAGACTGTTCAGAAATATAGATTATATATAGAATATATATTTAGAAATATAGAATATGTGGAATTATATATGCAGATATTATATTATATTATATTATATATAGTATATATATAATATATATATAATATATATAATATACATAGTATATATATAGTATAGTATATTATAATATTTATTATATTATAATATATATTATATATAATACATATTATATTATAATATTATAATATAGTATTATTATATTATATATTTATATTTATGATATATAATTATATATTATATTATTATATTTCATATATTATTTATATTTATAATTATTATCTATAATATATATTATATTTAGAAATATAGATTTAGAATATAGACTGCTTAGAAAATACCACTTCTGGACATTTTTCCCTTGAGGATGTAAGCTGAGAACCAGCAGAGGAGAGGAGTTCATTTCCTCATGGATTTACAAGCAAAACCAGGTGAAAATGACACAATGGGTGAAACCAAGGGAAAACAGGAGTCAAAATTAGCATTTGGAATAAAAAAATCCTGCACAGCCGCTGTTCCTGGAACCTCATCCCCGTTATTCCAGGGACAGATATAAATATTTCACACCCCAAATGTTGCTTTTTGGTGCCACCTGCTCACAGAGCTCTGGACGTTGGGGAGCTGTGGCAGACCCCAGCTCGGTGGGGCCACCACGGGCCAGGTGGCACTGTGTCACCTCCTGCTGCTGCTGGCACTGCTGGCTCCCATCAGCCCTGCCTTTCCAAAGGATGGGAATGCTCATCCCAGGGAAGGGACTCAGCCCAGCCCTGAGTTGTGCAAGGAGCTGTCAGGAGCAGCGATTACTCCAGATTGCAAATTTCCTTCGCATCTGCTCATCCCTCCCAGCTCAGCCCGGAGCTGGGCAGTGAATCAGCAGCAGCTGCAAAGGGTGGATCAGCTCCGGGCTGGGAATTTGCACATCCAGGCTGGGATCAAACGGCTCCAGCCTGTGCCGCTGCCAGCGGGAATTCAGCACGGAGCTCTGGGAACACCCCTGACACAAATCATGGAATCACTCAATGCATTGGGTTGGGAGGGACCTTAAAGCCACGGCAGGGACACCTCCCACCATCCCAGGCTGCTCCAAGCCCTGGCCAGCCTGGCCTGGGACACTGCCAGGGATCCAGGGGAATCTGCAATCATTCGCAGCAGTGTGATTTTTCACTGTCTCAGTAAAATCAATCTTTAAATAGCTCAAGTTTTACATTCTCTGCACGGGCAACTCGTGGGGGAAAAAGGCAATTCTGTATTAAGTTTTACTTTAAGGTACCTGTGCAATGAGTTTAAACTGCCAGAGGGCAGGATTAGATGGGATATTAGGAAGGGATTCTTCCCTGTGAGGGTGGAGAGGCCCTGGCAGAGTTCCCAGAGCAGCTGTGGCTGGCCCTGGATCCCTGGCAGTGTCCAAGGCCAGGCTGGACAGGGTTTGGAGCAATCTGGGATAGTGGAAGGTGTCCCTGGGGTTGGAACTCCCAACCCAAACCAGTCTGGAATTCCATGAGTGTGTTAGATGCCCCACCATGGCGACAGCTGACTAGGAAATGTCCCATAAATGTATTTATCCCAAAGTCCCTGACCTCCTGCCAAGTTCTCACCCTGCTTCTGGTGAGTTCCCAAGGGAACATCCCACTTTCCCAGTGCTGGACTAATCATTTTCATTAACCACTACTGCTGAACTTCACAGCAGATCCCAGTTTTGCTGCTGGCTCCCCAATCCCAATCCCACCTTTGGCACATTTGCCCCCAAAATGCCGTTCTTGTTTATCCATCACATCCTGCGGTGTTCACCGCTGCACACCTGAGGAGATTCCTCAGCATCTGGCACTGCCCAAGCCGAGGTCGTTCCCAGCCTCTGGAGCAGAGCAGAGGCTCCTGTCTGTCCCTGGAGGTGACGTGGGAGCCCAGCAGCCCCTGGGCTGAGATCGTTTGTTCAGGGCAGGACTCTGAGCCCAGGCTGAGGTGGAAACATCAGAGGGGAAAGGGATATCCCTCTGTGAGGTGGGAATTTGGGATCAAACGGCTTCTGCCTGACCTGCTGCCACCACAGCCTGCAGCACAGAGCTCACAGCCCTCTGGGACACTGAGAACATGACACAAATCATGGAATGACAGCGTGCCAGGATGGACTGGGGTGGCTGGGAGGCCTCTGGGAGTGCTCACCAACAAGGAAGCAGAAGGAATGAGCGCTTGGAACTCACGGGAACAGGTGCCCTGCAAGGCCCTGCTCAGCCCAGGATGGAGCAGCTGGAGACAGGCATCTCCCAAAGGCTCTCCAGAGGTTCCTTACCTGGTCACAGATGAGCTCCCACTTCTTCTCGTTGTCGTACTGCCGCAGGAGCCGGGCTTTGTCGGGAGGCAGGTTCATGGCATTCTGGGGAGAGACAGAATATTGTGAGGGACCAACCACAGCCAAACCCAGCTGGAGCAATCCGAGGCAGCGTGGCTGCGGTTCCTGGATTGTTCCCTGTGAATTCCTGATGCCAGAGCTGCTCAGGAACGTTTCCTCTCCCTGCTGGTTTTGGCCCCAAAAGCGCCGGTGAATCAAGAGGCACCCAAGGGCAGGGCCACGCTGGGACACACGAGGTGAGTGGCTGAGGGCCAGCCCTGAGCTCTGGATCCGGGGTTTTTAGGGAAAAAATGTTCCCTGTGAGGGTGGGGAGGCCCTGGAACAGCTTCACAAAGGAGCTGTGGCTGCCCTTGGATCCCTGGAAGTGCCCAGGCTGGACAGGGCTTGGAGCACCTGGGACAGTGGGAGGTGTCCCTGCCCGTGGGATGAGATTTGATGTCCTTTCCAATCCAAACTGGTTTTGGATTCTGTGACCATCCAGCATCCAGCAGAGAGGACAGCACACTCTGTGCCCCAGCCAGGTCCTGTTCCCTTCCCTGAGCACATTCTTAAGGGAAACACCTCCCACTGTCAGCTGGGGCTGCAGGACAGTGCTCTCCCAACAGGATCACAAAATGCCACCTCATTTTACTCCAGCAGCTATCCCGGCTGGAAAAGTCACCACATGCCACCTCAGCTGGATGCCACAGATCCCAGAGTCAGGACTGCTGCTGCCCAACCCTCAGCCAGCCACCCCAGACTGAGTGACAGGAGTCAGAAGGAAAGGGAGAGGCAGCAATTATTTGATCCCTATCGTTGCTGGCTCCTTTGATGTGAGTGCTCCTTCCAGGACAGCTCTCTGGGAAGGGCGGCTTTCCCAAGAGCCCCATCCCGGAATGTGCAGCGTAACTGTGGTGATCATGCTCCTGGAGAAGGCTGGAACAGGGGATGGAACCCAGGAACAGGGGATGGAACCCAGGAACAGGGGATGGAACCCAGGAACAGGGGATGGAACCCAGGAACA